AATGTTGACATTAAGACTACTTGTATCCAATAGTACTTCATTTTAGTACTTAATATTTAACATGGATATTGACAGATACAATATCATATTAAAATAATTTAGAATGAGCAACTTATAAACACTTCAAATATGCAAACAATTGATACTATTTAACAGTAGAAAAAATAACTTCATGTTCCAGATGTGAAGTTTTTAAATACAAATTTCTATTTTAAAATATAGAAATATTAATATTTTCAGACAAATTAATAATGTAATCCACACTTAAATCTAGTATTAGAAATTAATTCCTAATGTCATGAACATCAAATTCATACAAGACCTATCAAAATGTACAGAACCAAACATAGACCAGAAACTGTACACTGCCTAAATTTCTACACTATTTATTTTAGCTAAATAAATATTTAAAACCACACATTTCTTTAGTAACATAAATAGCCAATGCTTCAAAACAAGATTTACCAAAACCATGCATATGGAAAATATGCATGGTTTTAAAAATATTTATTCAAGTGAAATGAAGTTGAAATAACCACCTTTGATTTTTTTTCTTCATGATAGTATTATAAAAAAATTCAACAGCTATGTCCTTTAGTTCAAAATAAAGAAGAAAAGTAGTGATGAAAAATGGCCCAAAAGAAGTTTGTTCTGTGTAAATTCCTGACGGCCAGAAGTTGATTATATGGTATTCTAAAATGCCCAAGTAAGCTTAGGGAATTTGAAAGACTTGGTTATCAGTATGCATGGCCACAATTTCTAGCTGTGCAGGGTGTTTTCAAACCTCACCAATGTTAACCATATAATTTTTCCATTGCTTATGCTAAAGTGGGCCTCTTTTTAAATGGAAACATATACATAATTATTTTGCAGTGATGATAAACAAACAATGTTACAATACAATAATTCAGGCTTACTTTTAACCTACAACAATGCACAATGATACAGATAAAAGGAACTTGGAAGGTTTCAACTTTCCTTCTTTTAAAAAAGTCTGCTTTGATGTATTTATGGAGCAGCTTGCCTGAATTACTCACTTCTCCTTTTCAGCAATTTAGCTTCTCATTGTACATACTGGTGGTTCAATTTTAAAAAAATGAAAGAAAATGCAGGGGGGTGGGGGAAATAATACAACAAAATCTCAAGCCAGCAAAGATTACTCCTCAGTCAGGCAAAGATTACTCATATGACATGTGAGCTAGATAATGACGTGCTTCTGACAAATGTAAAGATTTTCCCAATTTTGCATGGTTGTCATTTTCAAACACCACCAAATTACAGTAGTATATATTATGTATTCTTATTCCAGAGTTCAATACCTATCTAACCATCTCACTCCTGGGAGAAATTTTGGAGTGCACTAAAGAGCCACAATGGAAAATATTCAAAGCTCTATTCGCAATTAAAGTTACATCAGATAATATTGTATGCAATCCTAAATTTTTACCAATCCTAGACTGAATCAAATTGAAGATTAACCAATAATAATAAGGCTGTACAAAACATGAACAATAAGTAAATTATAAAATGTGCTTCCAGGAGCAAAACACCCTTCTTCAAAACTCTGGAGTATGTGCAACTGAAAAGCCTGGATGGTTCGCTTCAAAGGATGTCTCCTGCTGTCTGCACATGCATATATCTATGTATGTTGACAGGTATATCATGTCAATGTTTTCACATGTATGTGCAAATATCCACAAACATACTTTGAAACACAAGCTTTTCAAAGGATTGGCTTCTTTAACATTTGGTGAAGGATACTTCAGTCAAGCTAACAACCTCTTTCAAATACTATGCAATGTCTTGTAAAATACCGTGTTTTTCTGAGTACCTTTTTCCCTCAAAAAAGAGAGTAAAAATCTGAGTGTGTCTTATACAATGAATACAGCATTTTTGGCCTCCCAAAACCCCGCCCTCTTCACCAAAAGGGGAAGCCATGCATAGCCTTTAGGAGGCTTATAGAGTGCTCCTGGGGGGAGAGCAGAAATGAGCAAAAAACAGGCCATTTTTTGCTCGCTTTTGCCCTCCCCCCCCAGCCCCCAGGAGCACTCTATAAGCCTCCTAAATGCTATGCATGCCCTTTTTGACAAAAAAAACGGCCATTTTTTGCTCATCACCCCCAGCCCCCAGGAGCACTCTATAAGCCTCCTAAATGCTATGCATGCCCTTTTTGACAAAAAAAACGGCCATTTTTTGCTCATCACCCCCAGCCCCCAGGAGCACTCTACAAGTCTCCTAAAGACTATGCATGCCTTTTTTTTTGACAAAAATGGGCCCATTTTCGCAAAAAAGTGCCATTTTTGGGAGGTCTGCAGAAAACTTTTTATTTTATTTTGCCTTTTCAAAATCTTGGTGTGTCTTATACTCCGGTGCATCTTATACTCAGAAAAATACGGTAATATTTCTGAATAAAAATAATCTAGGTACAAGATAGATATTGATAGAGTGAATGTAACAATGCTTGCTTTAATTAAAAACAATTAGTGTGTGTTTGTATGGGTGTTTAACAGTTCTCTAAAGTGCAAGGGCCTGGAATGCTGCAGAAACAATATGTTTCTATGTAATCATCAAGTTATATCCCGAAAATCACAACTGAAGAAGCAGAATCTTTCCCAGAGTTTTATGTCACTTTAAAACTCCGCATACTTTAGAATTCTGCACATCAGCAGTTTATGTTGGCTTTCTAACAGGCCAGCAACTAGTGCAGTTCCCTTGCAATAATATGTATGTGGTAAGCAACCCAGTCATTGCATTCAGCATTGTTTGAAGCTTCTAAATAAGTCCCAAGAACAACTCCACATAGAAGGCTATGCCCTTATAAAAATTAAGAGATAAATTAGACATTTGTCATTATATTTTATTCATCCAGCCATGATACTTACTATCTAATGCTAATTTCTCTATCTTGACCAAATCTGTCAAAAGTTTTACCTTCTTAAGGAAGACTTAAATATTGTAGTAAAACACTTCATAAAATCAAAATAGCAGTCATGTGGAATGCTACTGGGGACAGTACAGTTGAGCTAAAGTGCTTGAAGATGTTCACAGATACAGTAACACTGCTTTAGTGCAAAGGCATGCTAGCTAGCAATATTGACAAAATATGTTAAACTACAAGCAAAATTGTTTGTTTAACTACAATGAAATAATTAAATATTTGATTCATTCGTACTATTCAAATATTTAAAAAACCAAAGCAGAGGAAAGCTCCCCAAATAATTTTAGCCTCTCCCTACTTCTCTAAAATTATGCACCAATTTCAAAACGTTTACTGAAAAGAGAAAAATGTTTTAGTAGAATTTATCATGTAACCTGCAATTAGTACTGGGAAACAGGACTTTAACTGCTTTTAAGTTTGGATTCTATCTGTTCTTAATACTAATGACTGTCACACTTCATTTAAAATGATTTTCCCCTTTCAGGACACTAACCTTTACAATCAGGATTGAAACATGCATAAGAATCCCAGCAAACGAAAGAATCTGAGCTGTTATAGTCTATTATTATTCCATGGACATTTTATAGATATTCATATCCTGAAATATTGTAACAATATTGATTCACTGAGGACATTAATGCTCATCATGAGTCTTTATATAAGAAAAAATGATTCTACAGAATGAGAAAAGGGTGTGTGGGGTGTGTGTGTGTGTGTGTGTGTGTGTGTGTGTGTGTGTGTGTGGCTTCCAACAGATCAGTGGTGGGTTTCAATTTATTTTACTACCGGTTCACTCATGCGCACATGCGATGTTTCTGCACATGCGCAGAAGCATCCAGGCGGGTGGGTGGAGCCTCCCACCACCACCACTACCGATTTGCCCAATCTCGGGCAAACCCGCAGAAACCCACCTCTGCAACAGATGCTCTAGTTATTTCCCAAATCAAGCCTTCTATACGTGAAAGAGCTTCTTCAAAAAAATATATATTTTAATTCTTCATTCTTAATTTTCTACAGGGAAATAATTTTAGAAAAAAGAATAAATATATTCGGTAAACATATTTATTGTTTAACATAAAGTGTTACAGTATATACCTCTTAGTATTGATTTCTGCACACTAAAATCAGATCAAAAATGGCAAATCAGCTACTGAAAAACTGCATAGAATGCATCTTAGAAATTGATTATTTTTAATAGTAACTAAACTTCTCACTGTACAAATTCTACATTTTAACAAGGAAACAGACTAAAATTACTTTGAATATTAACCCCTGGGCTTTTGCTTCTTTTCTTCCTGTCCAACTGCTATACCACATCTCTGGAAGTGAACATATGCAAAGTATAATAAAAAAGTTGAAATAGAATTGCTCAATCCAAATTTGAATTTATTCACAATTCTGTATCTTTGCATATGGAAAAGTAACATGAGTTGCATGAAAATATGTAGATCATACCAATCCAAAGTGATTTAACTTATACTACAGCTTCTATTATTTTTCCCAAAATAGAGAAATAGGCTTTCCATGTTTTATCTCAATGCAGAATCTTTCCAGATAAAACTTAACCAGCAATTCTCAACAGGAGCAGATAAAGTAGACAGAGAGATAATACGCTTTAACTCATTGGATATAGGTATAGGTTGCCTTTTTCAACAAGAATAAGAAAAGTATCAAGCATGTTTCTGAGCAGATATAATACAGAAAATAATGGTGTTATAGCAACTCTCCCCTCTTCTCCACAGTGATTTGCAGAGAAAATAATGTTTACATCTCCTATACTATTTCCATTGGACTCTCACCAGGCTAAAAAGTTTCCTTAGAATTTTATGTTTGAACAAGATTGCAATATCATATTTTTAAAGCTCAGGAATCCAATGTTATCTCTGGCATGAACAGAATTCTGGAAATAGGATAAACTTGCAGAATGTAAGAAATTATACTTGGAAAATAAAATGTAGACGCAAGTAAATCTGATCTTAGCTTATAATTGTAGTTCTATGACCCTCCTTTGACTAAGACATTGAGAGCAGCTGAAGTAAATTTTAGATCATATTTTACTCACCTGGATTTTTTTCTGGGGAACTCGAAAACACCAATTCAACTCTTCCATTTTCAGGAAAATGATCATCTATAAAATAACCACAGCAGAAAATAGTTCTGAAAGATTAGGGATCTTATGAAGTACATACAAAACAGAGTTGCAGAACAGAATAGAATATCAGACATGAAATAAAATCCCAATTCTACATTCTGACTTAAAAAATCCATGACATTTTCACTGAAAAGAGCTTAAGTCAAAACTAAATTATATAATATATTTAATTTGGCAATATTTGGATCTCTATTTTATCTGCAATATTTCCTTTTTTTTAAATTCCTTTTAAAAGGAAATAATTGTTTTCAGGAATTATTGCCTGAACAAGAAATAGAACATAAGAAGCTGGCTTAATAACAATAGCGATAGGACTTATATACTGCTTCACAGTGCTTTACAGCCCTCCCTAAGCAGTTTACAGAGTCAGCATATTGCCCCCAACAATCTGGGTTCTCATTTTACCTACCTCAGAAGGAGGGAAGGCTGAGTCAACTTTGAGCCTGGTGAGATTTGAACTACCAAATTGCAGGCAGCCAGCAGGCAGCAGAAGTAGCCCGCAATACTGCATTATATCAACTGCATCACCATGGTTAGAACAAGACATTATAATGATCTTAAACCAAATAAATTCCAAGCTGTATAATAAAGCTGCCTGGTATTAAATTTAGTTTAGTATTGTTTACATTTTGTACAGCACAACTTTAAATTCTTTACATTGAATCCATCTTGAACTGGTCTTCTGCAAGCCATAAAGAAATAAATGAAAAATACATAATAGCATTGCTATGTGTTTACACTCTTGTGTTCATTTCAGATGGGCCTGAGCAGAATGAATTCCCCCCCCCCCAAAATAGCAATGATATGATAATGATATAAGTTGTTCATAAAGAATATATTCAATTCTTCATCTAGTACCATTTTTGTTTAGTACAAAAATGTGCTTGCAAAACATGCCAACTGCAGGAAGGAACAAAAAAACATAATAAAACATAATGGACAATTATGGTTCATCCTATGACATTCATTCTATTTAAAAACAAAGGTAGTCTCTTTCTCCCTCTGGGATGAATAACTAATGGTTCTAATATGGTCAGTTAAAACAACTATTTTCAACTATAATAGACATTTCATATATAACTTTTATAAATTCTTAGATTTTTCTTTCTAAATTTTATTCAACTCTGTGTATATCATACTACTTTCTGATCATACATATTGCATTTATATTCTGCTACAAATCTCCTGCTATTTGCCTGCCATTATCTTCAATTAACCAAAATGGTGCATTAAAACACAAAATATTTTGAATCAAGGTACCTAAAATCTGCTAATTTAAAGAAAGCATTCAAAATGGGGACTGTTACTCAGGTGTAATTGAAATGTTAAGATCTTCAAACCAGTTGTATTCACAAAGTTGTGCACAATAACTTTAGTCAGCCCTGGTCATCTGATTATGATTTCTGACACTCCCTGCCAGTTTCTCACAAGTCAGTGGGGAAGCCAGCAGGAAGTTAGAAGAGCCAAGGTGGCGCAGTGGTTAGAGTGCTGTACTGCAGCCACTTCAGCTGACTGTTATCTGCAGTTCGGCGGTTCAAATCTCACCGGCTCAGGGTTGACTCAGCCTTCCATCCTTCCGAGGACCCAGACTGTGGGGGCAATATGCTGACTCTGTAAACCGCTTAGAGAGGGCTGAAAGCCCTATGAAGCGGTATATAAGTCTAACTGCTATTGCTATTGCCATGGTGGCAACATAGTGGTGATGGCACAGTGGTTAGAATGCAGTATTGTAGGTAATTTTGCTGACTGCCAGCTCCCAGCAGTTTGGCAGTTTGAGTCTCACCAGCTCAAAGTTGACTCAGCCTTCCAAGGTTCCACCTTCCAAGGTTGATAAAATGAGGACTCAGATCGTTAGGGGTAATATGCTGACTCTGTAAACCACTTAGAGAGGGCTGTAAAGCACTGTGAAGCAGTATATAAGTTTAAGTGCTATTGCTATTGCTCCCGTTCCCATTGCATTTTTGCGCATCCACTGTAAAAAAAAAATCTGTTTAAATAAGGAAATATCTCTGAAAGAATATTCTAATGGTCATGGGTCATATAGGATATTATAAAGTTCTTGTTTGAAAGTGCCAACTTAGAGATAACCATCTCCAAATTCTAGATAGCAAAGATGCAGAAAATTTCTGCTTTATAATTTCTCTTTCTAAGATGGTGACTTGCCTATATTTGCATCATCCAACTCTTCTTTGTTAAATATTAGACCATATCCTTGAACAGCACCAGTGTGAAACTGCAGTCGGAAAATGTTACTCTGAATGCCGTGCTGGTACTTGTTATGGCAACACTTGAGCTGAAATAAATAGATAAATAGATAAACAAGCATTCATACAACTATGCATTCCTGCAACTTCAAAGTGTCTGGGCAATTACATAAAATATACATAAGCAGCAGTATTTCATTCCACTAACAGATGCATAGCAAAGACAATAGAAGATGGATTGAGACTTGGGAAACCAAGATGCAAGAAGGACTAGCCATATAGCTTATCTGATGGCTCACCAAACTGCCTCCTGGTGTTATTTGTTAGCAAAATCAAGGGAAGGATGGAGTAATTGGAGCAATGCTACCCACCCAGATATGAAATAAGACCCATATAAATTAGAATTCAAAATTTGAAATTTTCAGAATTATATATCATTTTCACTTAATACAGTAAAATATTAATTAAACAAAATTCCCAGGAGTTATTTCAATATTCATTTTTAATTACTTTATTCATTCTACCAGAAAATGGGGATATTACATTGTTTTGGGATTCAATAAGAAGAAAACAAGTGAGAGATTCAGATAAACTATATTTTTTCCTCTTTTATACAGTTACCCTACAAATTCAAAATGTCTATACTTGTAAAATAAAATTATTTACTATTCTGAATACTTTAAAACATTTCGGATAGTTCTTATGGTCCCTATATTATCCAAGTTATCCTATTATGTACAATGAAGTTATAGCAGGAAATAAGTGAAGCTAGTTCTCTCAGAAAGTGGTATGTTGTGTTTGACCTGAACTATTTTCATTAATTCTTTTGACAAGATGGGCCTAGAAAGCCTCTGCACCAACCTGGAAGCCAAAATGGGGCACGGGGGTGCCACGTGAAGCCCCAAAAATGCAATGCAAGCGCCCCATGCATACACCCCACCCCCCACACGTGTACATGCAACCCCGTATGGGCCTCGCTTCCCTCTTATGTGCAGCAGAGACACAAAGAGCAGTTGGCCGGCTGGAGGCATGCACGCATGCACGGGGGAGCTGGGCTGGCATGACAGCTGGCGTGCCCACAGAGAGAGCTCTGTGTGCCATAGGTTCGCCATCACGGGAGTAGAAGATGCTGCTTCCTTTGGAAGAATTTGCCAATATGAATCAGACTTGCTAGTTCCCTGATTGCATTCAGAATGACATACAAAAGGGGTTATTTGATAGAACACCTTTTAGTGATATTGCTATTTAAGATGCTTTAAGCTATTGTGGATACTTTAATGTTGCATTTTTTCTTGTAAATTGCTGACTTATTTTTCCAATTGCAATGGGATATAAATGTAATACATTAATTAATCATACAACTATTTCACCAACTAACTAAATTTAAAAAAAAGTTGATTTTGGAATCAGTCCTTTCTTACAAATTTTTTGCTTGAGGTCATCTTCAAAATATTAAATCTGCTAAGAATAGTATATTGTATATGGCCTGCCTAACATTAACTTAAACATTTAGTGATGTAGTCTTTAAATGACTCTAGAATTCTATCCATTATCCAAAACAAAGTTAATGGAACACTTACCATTATATCTCCTTTCAACAGCTGGGCTGGTTCAATTGCAATGCAGACTCTGCTTTGATTCTCTAGCCCTGTGATACTGAAAAAAAGGAGAATCATGTAAATAACATATTTGAAATATTTTCAAAAGAAAAAGACTTCAACTGCTCCAAATCCAATATTACATAATAAAAATGCAATCCTGTTGAGACTGTATCATCAATCATGAACATCATTCTTTCCATAGGAAAAAATGAAGTTTAGATCTAAACCGTGTTTGGTATACATTTTGCTAAACATCACTTTGTGATTTACATAACATAGTGCATAGAAAAGGCACACGTCAAAACTGTTTATGTCTACTTACTATACTTCTGATGTATAAACTGGCAGCATGCCCTCATACAACTTCAGAAATGATTGACAACCTAAAAGGGGAAAAATTACAAATATCTAGACTTTTTAAAGGAACATCTACTATAAGTAACACATGTGAACCTGTTGCCGAGTGCCAAAATGCAGTCATGTGAATGGGGGGGAGGGGAATCCATGACATTTTACAATAACTAGACATGTTTCATGGGCCATAAAGCACCCATTTCAAGGCCATAGTGATTGTAAAGGGTGGTTAAATGACTGGTCATAAGTTAAAGACTATCAAAATTAGCTTTGCACATCAATGAAAAGAATAATACTTGCAAAAACTGTGTATAATTTAACAGGATATAATTACATAGAATCAATCCCCTGATAACAATATTCTGGAGGTTTCCCAGCTATTTTAGAAAGCCAACCTTTAAAATTCCTTTTCATTAGGGAATATTTATTCTCCTCATTAGATGCATTAAAAATTGTGAGGATGCAATAATTGCAGCCAAGTTATACAACCAACATAACAGTTAACAGTGATTTCACACAGCAAGATAAGCAAGGAGACACAGGGAGATATTGCCTTTGGTAACAGATAATGATGAAATGAAGAAGACTGACGTCAAAATAAGTAATTTTTTAAAGAAAGCCTTACCTCCACTAATACCAAAGTTTGGGATTCCATGCAGAATAACATAATGCAAGAATAGAGGGTTTGTATTCATTTTTACCAATCCAGAGAGAAGATCGCTCAAAAACTGTACATATCTAAAAAGGACAAGAGTTATATTGAATGAGTAGGGGAAATATATAGTAGCATGCAGAAGAAACATTGAGCACCAATTAGCAGTCAGAAGAGCATGATGAAAACTCCTTAGTTTCATAAAATATAGACAGACTCAATCATATTTTCAACTGGGGAACTATATGCTTCTGGATCAAGCCAAGTTCAAAACATGTAAGAGAATTCTTGGAGATCTGGCGTTCAGATAATTTGGTAATCAACAGGCACATAGAGAAAAACAGCACTTACCACTCAAAAGAACCCCAAAGGAAACAAAAAGATGTAAAACACTTCCTCATCAGCAATTAACACCCATATGAGCGGAGATTAACACAAAGATTAAGACTAGACCAACAGTCAAAAATTAAGCAATGAAAAAAAGAAGAAAACAATTAAACTATTATCAGTGCAGATAAACAAGCAAACAGTAAATAACAGCCTAATCAAAGAACCACCAAGAACATTGCCACCAACACTGGCAGGGCACTACTACTACTATATGAAAATAAGAGCAAATCCCATTCCATTCCTGCACTGATGATGTTACCTAGATTGGTAATGAAATGTCTGCAAAAAAATCCCAGTTCAACATTGAATTACAAATATTCTCTTCTATTGACTAGTCAAAGATTTCAGTTCTTGTGAATAGTATTTGTTAAAAGAAAAACTATATTAAAAATCAGAATGCTGTAAATCTCAGAGTCCATATTGAAAAAACATTATTCCTTTTGCTCCCACGCTGTTACTCATCTATGCTTTTCTGGATAATGTTTACAAGCACACCAAACTTTCCAAATAATGCATTTATTTGTAGAAACAGATCTGAGTGAGAAAAGCTTTTCAGGATAAATATTTATTACAGTGTAAGGTTTCAAGGGGATGTATGTTTCTTTTTTCATGTCAATAGCAGCAGTGTAGGTCTCCAGGGAAAAAATAGTGGCTCCCTGGGAAAGTTTTTATGTAGTGAAAGACAAACAGATGCATTGCCAGATCTGGGTTTTTTTCCAACATTGTTTTTTCAATCACTACTAAGGCTTCCACTCTTTAAACAAATTCTTATTGAATGCCTTATGAAAAAGGGATAGTAACTATGGCTACCAAATAATACTATCAACTACAGTATTTCACCATCCCCTCTACTTTTCCTATCAAGCAATATGATATTAAACTACAAATAGTAATTATCCAATCACATTTCTCTTCCATTCTGGTCTCAAATGTCAATTTATCTGAATCTGTACTACCAATTTCCACCTGTTCCAAGGCACCTTTCTCTTAAAATCCACCATAACAGTTTCTGTGTGGTCTATATTTCTTGCTTCACATTTAGATAGAGGATAACAGAAAAGAATCACCTGGCATGATCAGATGAAATTTATAATCAATGCTTGTATGTCACATAAATTCATCTTTATTTTTTTTAAAGAAAAAATACAATAAACAAATTGGGATTTTTATATTAGGTCTAATATTGTTAGCATGAACAACATCTCAAAATAAATATTATCCCAATACCCCAAGTATAAATCTTGGAATGACTATTTTACAGAAATATATTGACTGAAAAAGAAAGTTATGCAAAATAAATTAAAATATGTATCTATGTTAATTATTTTGTGCAGAAACTACCCAACCCAAGAATGGGATAACTCACTGCAGTTACTTCACCACAGCTATCTTGCCATGGCCGTCTTACCACAGTCATTAGACCACAGGACAATTCTATGAGGGATAGCTCAGTACAGTAATTGTTATCCACCACTGTTTCTTCTACATTATTTCCATTGGAAAAAATGAAGATAAGGTACAAGAAACTTTTTATAGCAATAGCAGTAGACTTATATACCGCTTCATAGGCCTTTCAGGCCTCTCTAAGCGGTTTACAGAGAGTCAGCATATTGCCCCCAACAATCTGGGTCCTCATTTTACCCACCTCGGAAGGATGGAAGGCTGAGTCAACCCTGAGCCGGTGAGATTTGAACCGCTGACCTGCTGATCTAGCAGTAGCCTGCAGTGCTGCATTTAACCACTGCGCCACCTTGGCTCAACAGATAACATGGAAGATAACATTTATTGTATTACATTATCCTGCATCAATGTTGGGCTCTGGATCCCGGTGCAACCAGTATGGTGCAATGGGGGCGGAGGCCCACCACATGCACGTGTGCAGCACGTGTGCAGCGCACGCAGGCATATTTAACGCCTGCAACGATCCAGCTGCTCAGCAGAGCATCGCGCAGGCGCTTTATGCTCCGTGCCCAGAAGCCCCCATCAGCTCAAATACAGGTAAGGAGGGAGGGTAGGCGGGCACCAGTATGCCCATACCAGGGCGTACCAGTCATATCCCACCCCTGTCCTGCATGGATTGTCCTGCAGCAAGTTATCTTGTGGTGAGATGGCCACAGCAAGACCACCATGGTAACATGGCCATGCCAGGTTGCCACGACAAGATTCCCACAGCAAGTTGGTTATAATGAGATGGCTGCGGCAAGTTGTCCTAGAACCATCCAACCCACAAGAACTAGACATAAGGACCCAACTTCATTGAGGAGTATTCCTCACTTATTTATTAATGGTACTGAAGCTTGATTTCAGAAAGTAAGTGGTTGCTGTGCAATATTTGCACTTCCCCTCCGCCATCTTTAATTTTAGGTCTTTGTCTCTTTTCTCTATTCATGAATATTATTAGGACCTATCCACTAGAATGCAACAACACTCAATTTTTCTGCTATTTCTGAAATCTGAAATTCCTCTAGGGAACTTTTGATCAAACGACACAAAACATAACATTATACAAGCTAGCTCAACCACCTGATCATATAGGACATGCTCTATAGGACTCTAGAGAAAGGTGAAACATTTTCACTCTTGGTAGAAGAATAGCAGGAGGGGCTGACATTCTCATCTCCAAAGCTATATGTTGATGCACTTTCAGGAGCTGTTACTTACAGTAGTGGTAATGATCCAGGCAGATCATACTGATACAACATCATAGATATCTTAAAATGTTTTTTTATTATCATTTTTACCATTTGGAATAACTTTTTCAGTTTATTTGGACACTATATCTTTCTCTGATTCTTATAAGTCTCCTGCTCTGCTCATCAATACCTGATCAATACATAGGTCATCATAGGTTCAAAAGGCTACAACTGGGATAGCCAAAATGCAAAAATTATTGTGAGTTGTGGACAGAGTCATCCATCACTGATTCCTTCTCACCTCCTTTCCTTCCTTTTTTTTTTAAATTAGCAAGCATAAAAAGTTTTTATTTCTCTTACAACCTCCCTAATTTTGGATTAGTTGCTGTAATATCCTATTTGAAACATGACTGACACCTGAAACAAGATATATACACTTCACAAGAAGAGAAAAGGGCTGAAAGAAGGGGTAAATTTAAGAAAGGTCCCCCTATGGACAGGGGGAGCTAAGAATGGTATTTACTGAAACAGGAAGATGTTTCTGAGAGAAAAGATGTTTCTAAAAGAGAAACTGAAATACCTTTTCTGGGATGGTTGCATTAAAGCAGAAACATTATCATCAAAGAATTTCTTCATTGCAAATCTGTCCAGGGCTTGATCTGCACTATTGTGAAAGAAAGAGAAAAAAATGTAAATCCTTCAGGGGAGCAATCTTGGAAATAAAGGTCACTATAAAGTAAATCATGCCAAAGCATTGCAGTATGTTGTGTTCTATTTGGCAAATGCATTTACCCTCAGATATAATGAAAACTAATTATAGTAGTTCTGAGAAAATTCTCAGCTGAAAGAAGAACTAATGTATATGCTAATTAAAACATTAATGCTTCTTTTCCCATTCCTTCTGAATAAATTAGTTTTTATATGGAAGCAATTTGTAGTTTTCTACAATCTGGTATATAATTATTGTTCTCAAAATAATATCTTTAAAACTAAAGATATCCATATTCAAACATCCATATGATGTTTGAAAAGTATTTAAAATTATTGATTTTACTCCAATTACAGCATTTATACCTGAAATTTCTTTGATTCCAGTGAGATCTGAATCCAAGAACATTATACTTTGAAAAACAGTCTCCACTTGACCTTTGTTCAACAACATTAAAAATAGTAAAGAAATACTGCCCAGTCTTCATTGGTTTGCCAAATACTAACTCTAAATAAATCTCTCTTATATTTTAAATAAAGAGGAATGGAAGAGTGAAAGAAAAATATTTAAGCATTTTCCCCTCCAAACCCTGAATCATTAACAATTTCAGCTTTAATTCTTGTCACTGTATATGTTACCCAAAACAACAACAAAACAAGAAAAACAATTTCTGAGAGATTCTGGTGGGAAAACAAAAATTATAGGTCAGTGAATTAATTGCAGTTGCTACCACTAAAACTAGGTGAGCATGAATCCAATTAGACATCTTCATAAGCAAGCTTTAAATATATTCATTGCCTTATGCTCTGCATCTGGTCTTATCATTCAAATCATTTCTAACATCCTACATAATTTATGCCATTCTAGGTCTAGCATTCGAAGCATAAGGCATAAACCTATTTTCACTTGTAATATTTGCAAATTAAAAAAAACAAAACCAGTGTCAAAATCACTAAAAGAGAATGAAATTAAGTCTCCTAAAAGTCTAAATATGACTGTAACAGGCACATTTTCATTGATGTCAGAGCTCCATTAACATGGCCAGAAAATTCAGAATTGTCTGTATCCCATTTATTAAAAATAATTAAATAAAATATATTTTGATCAACAGTGGAATAAAACACCACCAGCAAATAAAATTTATCTGTCCGTTCATCCGTCCGTCCATCATCTATCTATCGATCAATCAATTGATCTAGCTACCTAGTTATATAGCTATCTAACCATCTATCCAACTATTCTAAGGACAATGCACAATAGATCAAAATAGATAAAAAGCAAAAGTATAAAAAGTAAATATAAATATAAAAGACCATAATAATAAATTGTCTAAAAAAACAGACTGATCTTTTTCCAAGATCATCCTTCAAGTTGGAGTTCTGAGTGACAGAGGGATTTGCTTCTCTTATCAACAGTTGATTTTGCTGCCAAGGCAGTTCTTTGGCAGCTGACTTCCTAAATCAAATGGGAGCAGCTAGGAATGACCCAAGATGACTTTTAGATGACCAGGGACAATCCTGGGAAGTGGAATCCTGAAGGATGCAATTCCTGATAGGAGGGGTTGGAGAGTCTGATGTTCATCTTTCCTCTCAGTTATTTGGTTTCTTTAAGTATGCTTGGCTTTTAATTGCATGTTTTAAAGCTATTTGTTTTAATTTGATTCTTATTTTTAAAACTTAGTTGACTGGTTGAAGGCTGATTTATTTTAACCTCTTGCTGAATTTTAACTTTCAACTTTCTTTTGTTTCTTCACTGTTTTCCCCCCCAGCTATGATCTACTTTCACTTTCAGTATGGATCCACCTTATATTGGATTTTCACTACATGGTTTAACTCTAAAAACCTTTCATCTGGATTTTTTTTTAAAAAAAATATTTTTTTCTTTTTCTTTTTTTTCTATTCCTTCATTGTGAGAAATTTTATTTCAATGTTCTCTGTAGCCATTTTGTTACAATATCTTTAATTTCTCTCTCTTTGGAGAGGGAATTATTATTTTTTAGTTTTGTAAGTTCAGCTCTGAACAGGAGACTTTGGAGCAAAGGTTGGTTTCTACCGGCGTTACTGCCAGCTCGGTGCACGTGCAACGCTTCTGCACATGCATGCACGTAGTTGCCTGTAAATAGGTCTGTCCATGCAAAGAACATTAAAAATGTCAAAAAAATATGCCACGGGGACCAGGGAACCAGTTCGGGGGTGTGGTGAGCCTGCCGTCTCTACCAGTTCGGCGACCCAGTCACAATTTCCACCACTGGTTTGCCCGAACTGATGCAAACTGGTAGCAACCCACCTCTGCTTTGGAGTGTATCAAAAATACAGAAAATGCACCAACTTGAAGAAGCCTTGTGGGAAGCCTTCAAAAATGCTTTTTAATCTACAAGTTCAAATTTTAAACTTTGGTAAAAAGCTTGATAAAATTATCAGGGTTTTAAATCAACTTAATGCAAACCACTGCAGCCAAGCCAGACTTAAAATTAGATCAGAGCTGGGTTGCTCCTGGTTCGGCCCAGATCAGACTAACCAGTAGTAGTGGCAGCGAGTTAAATACAATAACTTGCTATGGGAAAACCCCATTATTTGAAGTTTGCTGTTGAGTTACCTGCTAACTACTTTAGCAGATGGAGGACAGGCAAAGTTGGTTGAGAATAGATGAAAAAGTATAAAACTGTGGTCCTGTTTTGCAAGGGAAAAAAACCTAACATTGTAATATATTCATCAGTAATGAACCCGGGGGGGGGGGGGAGGGGATAATATATGCATATGTGTTTTTGTCTTTTGTTGTTTTTTATACACATTTTTAAAAACTATTTTTTCTATTTGTGTTTACTTTTTTGTTTGTAAATTTTGTCTGGATTTTTCTGGAATTTGTATTTTAGGTTTTTGAATAAAATAAAAAATATTTTTTTAAAAATCCTAAAAAATAGAAATACAGCCCAACATTGGGGAAAAATTAAATGGCCCTTCAATAATGCTCCCATCTAAATAGATTTCAGATTCCATGTGTCCCAAGCCTAGTCACATTATCAGGCATGTCTCCTGGGACACACCAAACATAGACCTATGCCCATGTTATTTAATATATATTTAATATGTATGTATTAGCCTTGCAAATACAGAATGTATTTGATATAAATCCTTCCTAGTTTCATTAGCTGGAATTTTTGAAAATCGAAGAATCATATTTATTAAATAAATCATATTTATTTAACAACTGAATTATAATTTCTGTGTTCAGATGACAGAGTCGTTGCCACCAACTGTTTAATTGGGAATTAGCTTAGCAATTCCCCCTTTGAACAGTAAGAGATATGAATGCAAGGCACTGGCTAAACCAAATTTGATTAGTGTTCTGTATCTTTGCCTTCCATAATTGTGAAACTTATCCTAACCTATAAAATGAATTCTCTCACTGTCATGACTTTTAGCTGGGCAAAATGGTATATAATAGGACAACAATTTTTGAAGCAAGGTACCTCAATTGGGCGAATCTTTCAGAATGTGTCCAAAATCTGGGACCCAGGATTTTTGAGGTAATTAAATTTGGGGAAGTTCTGGCTGCTTCATTACTATCTGCTGCTGCATTGTTATACTGCTGCTGTGGTCACATGATCTTCACTTGCAAAATTCTATGACAAATTCCCAACCAATCTTATAACTAACTACAGCCAACTTCCCACAAACAACTTATTGTGGCCAACTTGTCACAGGATAACTTGCTATGGGACAACTCAATGCTGTATTTGTTGTTTCATTCAGCTACTTTTATTATTCAGTTTCTTTAAAATTAATGTAACACTTGTATTTCTGGATTGACTTTCTTTATATTATTATTATTTATCATCATACAGTCAGCCAGATTGGGTTCAGCATTTTTGTCCACTTATCGAATCCTTACCAAGGACCTGGGACAGCAGTTCTGGATGTTTGATGGTGTTACAGATATGATCGCAGGATAAAGCTGTTCAGAGTAAATCCATCTTTTGCAATTGATTGTTGGCAAATTTGTCAATGCCAATGGTATTCAAGTAGATCCAGTTGTTTTGGGATCACACCCAAGACACCTAAGTTAGGTACTATCCTTGCTTGCTTTGCCACACTTGTTCTATTTCTATTTGTAGGATTTTGTATTTTGTTATCTTTTCCAATTCTTTCTCTCATATTCTGCAGGCACTGCTACATCTGTTATCCAGACTTTTGTCTTTCTTATTAACAATTGTTAAGTCTGTGGTGTTATGTATCAGATGCCTGTCTGTTTGGATTCTAAAGTCCAGAACAATTTAACTTCTTCATTTTGTTCTATACTTACTTCTATTCTTACTGGTTCTATTTTATGGTCCCACCAGGTCTTGCTTGCAGGCAAATGGTTTTTTTTTCAGATCTTCCAATGCACCATTGTTGCTACTTTATCATGCCATTGCTTGTAGTCAGTCTCTGCAATCTTGCAGCAATTTACCAGGTGGTCCACTGTTTCTTCGGCTTCTTTGCATAGGCAGCACATACTGTCTGTTGCTGTCTTTTCAATTCTGGCTTTGTATGCATTTGCCTTAAGGCTTGGTCTTATGCAGCCAGATTTAGTCCTTCCGTCTTCAACGTTCCTGCTCCTAGTCACTGACAGATCTTGTTATTATCTGCCTTCCCTGCTAGTTTTTTTTAATGTACTGGCCATGTAATGCTTTCTCTTCGCATGCCTCTATTTTCTTCTTCATTTGGTCTTTCTTGTAAGCCAGTTTGGTCTCTCTAGTAGTCAATAAGCCTTCTAGCATACTAACTTCAGTGCATCTCTTCATTGTCCTTCAAATATTCTTCAAAAGTTCTTTTTTTCTTCTTCAACCATTATATGTATTTGCAGCATTCCAAGTCTACCTATTTGCCTTGGTAGTTAAAGTCTGTCAATGTTGCTGCAAGAATGAAGGGCATGATTCATTGTCATTATTTTTTTTTGTCTTCCTATCCATTGATTTTAGTTTGCTTGAATTCAGTCCACTATTCCAGCTGTATATTAAATGACTGGATTTGCCCAGATGTTGATTGCCTTTCTCAATTGAGTTTGGACTTTAAAATCGTCTTCACTCTCTTGATGTATTCACCGCTAATCTTTTTCTTGATGTCATATTTTTTATGGGAGAGATATCTTCATCTGACTTCTATGATGAGAACAGTCCAGTATGGTCGAACCTGACATAGCTCTCACCTTCTTCAGAGCAAACAAGCACTACAACCACATCAAGGTAATGCTTTACTGGGTATTATTACTATTATTGATCATTGTAGTCAACCAGATGTTCAGCCTGGGTTTGGCATTTTTGTTCACCTATTGAGTCTTGCCAAGCATCTGGGATAGGTTAGGTTAGGTTAGGTTTATTTAGCTTGTATGCCGCCCTACTCCCGGGAGACTCAGGGCGGCTAACAATAAGAAGGGAAGGGGGTACAAAAATAAAAACAACAATTAAAAATTCAGCAACAGTCATAACATTGGATGGGGCTGGATAATTCAACAGCCCCAGGCCTGCCGGAACAGCCAGGTCTTAGTTGCTTTGCAGAAGGCCGGAAGGGTAGTAAGGGTCCGGATCTCAACAGGGAGATCGTTCCATGGGGCCGGAGCAGCCACAGAGAAGGCCCTCCCCTGGGGAGTCGCCAGCCGACATTGGCCGGCAGATGGAATCCGGAGGAGGCCTAGTCTGTGGGATCTAATAGGTCTTTGGGAGGTGACTGGCAGGAGATGGTCTCTCAGGTAACCAGGTCCGATACCATGTAGGGCTTTAAAAGTAACGACTAGCACCTTGAAGCGTGTCTGGAGACCAATGGGAAGCCAGTACAGCTCGCGGAGGATAGGTGTAACGTGGGTGTACCGAGGTGCACCCACAATCGCTCGCGCTGCTGCATAGGGAGATGTGAATGTTTGAATGTTTGATGGTATTACATATATTGTTGTTGTTGTTATATAAAATTTAATCTTCCATTTGATTCATAGTCTGGTACTGATAAAAACATAACAGTTCAAGTCCTAACCAAGGACCTCAGAGCTGTTAAGATAGCATCTGAGAATGGCTGACCCGCGTCACAATTCCATTTAAATTAAATTAACTTTTGTATTTGCTGAATTGTCCTATGGTGAGTTGTCCACAGTCAATTGACTATGGCGAGTTGGCTGCAGTGAATTGGTCATGGCCATTTGGTTTTACAATCCCTTATTCCTTTATCCATCCAGAAGCAGCAACTAACTGGGAAGAGACAGGACAGGGTAAGAAAAAAAAAGAAGGGACTGTGAGGAAGGATCCCGCACATACTTGTTTTGACCTGCAACTCCCTCCCATGAGCGTTCTCTGACTTACCCAGCACTTCTTGCACACTGCTATGTACCCACCCTTTGCCACCTCCTGCATAATCTGTGCAGCACCTCTTGTGCACTCTATGCAACCCGCACTCCTCCTTGAAGGCTTTACTTGACTCCTATGGCACTCCACAAACATCCTTCCTGATCCATGCTATGCTCTCACATTCTTTGCTGTTCCCAAGTTCCCTACTTACCTGTACAGCACCACAGACCCACACCATAGATTCTTGCTGCCCCTCCCTTTTTTTATTCTTGCTGCTTCCCTCCCCATAAACCATACTCAACTGCAGACCTAAGATCTGCAGACAGACCTAGGATCCTTCCCAGACCTAGAATCCTTCCCAGACCTATACTCTATCTATGCACTCCCTAATCCATGCAACATCTTTGGTGCATACCCGGCATACCTTCCAACCTCCACAGCTCCTCACACACCTATGTACTATTTTTGAACCACACACTTCCATAAACTACTCCTTCCCTCCCACACCTAGCAGCAGCCATTTATCTTCATGCTGGTCTTCGATTTGCAACTTTCTATTGACTGGCTTCACCATTTTTCAAGCTTCCCACAAGCAACATAAATGGAGAAGCCAGCAGGAATGGGAGAGAGGAAATGAAAGAATGACTAGGAGTGAAGGGAAGAAGGAAGGAATATTTCTGATGTGCCCTAACAGTTTTCTACAAGGAAACTCAATGGGGAAGCTGCCAGGAAATCAGAGGATATCCTTCTCCCAATGTTTTTTTTGCTCACCTATATATATATATATAATATTTTCAGAGTGGTATTGAAAGAAAGGTATTCAGGAAGACGATATGAAAGTCTCATTTGTCTCATAGACCAGCTCTGGATTTTATTCATGGTTACCCTATAGATAGGTAAAAACTAGAATCCTTCAACTAATTATCTTTAGGGTTTTTTAATATTCTGGTAGAAAACAGTTAGGAAATAGCCAAATAATCATTAAATGTTTTGTTATCCTACCTTGCAGATACATTTGTGAAGTGCATGTATGATGAGATCACTACCCCTATTCTTCCTTTTCCACCCTGTACAACATAAAACATAAATATTTTCTATGTTCTTAAACTGGATATATTTTATTTTTATTCTATTTTTAATAACTGCAGGCACTGTTTTCATTTTATATGACATTTTAGGATCATAACAAAACTATAAATTACAGAAAAAAATCTAAATATAATGTTAACAATATTCTATTAGCTATTCTAAGACAAGTCTAGGCATCTCTGCAATTTCCTGGAGTGTGTTCTGAAAGCTTTTGAAAAATGTATGTTTCCCAGCACATAATAAACACATAACATTTCTTGTGATACTTATGATTTATAGCCAAGATTGCATTTAATGACTACTTTCACAATGTTGTGAAATCTTACTAAGCATACTGCATGCATTCAGTACAAATTACTAACAGCAATTCTACTAGTCTTAACTTGTTTCAAAATTACTCAGAGAAGAATATGATAGCTAATTTATGGCTGATTATAAATCAGTAAAATAGCATTGCTGCTATTTGTATAGGGAATAAAGGAAATTATAACATTTAAAAGCTACTGTCTGATTATTAATAAAACCTATTTTGCATTATATTAGGGTTTTTTTTGAAAATCAATAGAAGCAGCAGAGCTAGAATCCAGTGTTCATGACTTTAATCTTCTGGTATTTTGAATAAAGGTTACAAAATAGACTGCATAATACCTCTCATTTCCAAACTATTTGACTCCCAACTTTCAAGTTAAATTCATAGTGCTTGGTATTACATATCACATATCAATGTAATTCATTAATAAAATTACACATGAATTCTTATATATGCAGAGCCCTTCCTCTTAAAGGAATTAATGTCTTCATACATTGTATCTTGGGATCTATTATTTGCCAATAATGGCTATTAATATGCAATTGTGATGAATGACAGCCCAAAAATTACTAAACGGGAGAAGTTCATAGTTGTCACTCCTGTGCTCTGGAATTCCCCGCTCCTAATGTGTCTTCTCCAACTTGTTTTAAAAAGAAGAATGATGTATTGATTTACATTATTTATTTATTGATTGATTGATTGATTGATTGATTAGTGGAAACTAAACAAGGAATGAAGCAACTTAGAACTAAGGAGAAATTTCCTGACAGAACAATTAATTAGTGAAGCAACTTGCCTCCAGAAGTTGTGAATGCTCCAACACTGGAAGTTTTTAAGAAAATGTTGGATAACCATTTGTCTGAAGTGGTGTAGAGTTTCCTGCCTAGGCAGGGGTTTGTACTAGAAGACCTCCAAGGTTCCTTCCAACTCTGTTATTCTATTCTATTCTATTCTATTCTATTCACTTTTTATGTATTATACTCATTCATTGGGGCTTCTATAAAACCTTAAGTTCCTAGCTATTTCAATAGGGCCTGTATGATAAGTATAGCATACTTATCATACAGGTCCCTGATAGTTACTGTTGTGTTAGTTACTTTTCCTGATGGTGTGTGTGTGTGTGTGAATTTGCTGTATTATTTTTACTAATGTTTTCATCTCATTGTATAAGCCACTTAGAATCACTTTGTGATTGAGGTTACAGTGATCACCAGGAGATATAATTGGGCCAGCTTCATTCTTATATGGAATCCTCAGACATGGGGATATTTTGTATGTATCTGCAAAAATCATAAAATATATGATACCTATCCTAAGTTAGTTACCCACCAAAAAAACTACTGGGGGAAAGAGTGAAAAGAAGAAGGGGAATCTTTTATTCAATAAGTGTGGCAGATGGAGAAAATACAGAAACAATTTGGGAAAGGTATGGGAAGCATTGAAGGGTTTATAGAATCATAAGATGGAAGGGGTTTTGGGGGACAGGAGGAAGTGATCTAGAGAGAGAATTCTTAGAGTGGGATAAAACATATCGAGGAAGACAGAAGGAAGGAATGTACATTGGCAGATTGATATAAAGGCAGCGAAAGTTGAAGGAGGGAGGGAGGGAGGGAGGGAGGAAGGAAGGAAGGAAGGAAGGAAAGATATTTTGCATGTCAAAAATATAAAATGAGAAAAAGAAATTATAGTCAAAGGAATAGATTTGTATTTGTGGCAAATATTCCAGTTTATGGGCTTCTCACACCTGCAACAATACTATTTATACCTGACACTGCCCTATAACATTTTTATAGTTTCTCAGCCTACTAAAAAAAGGTAAAAGCTTCCACAAGTATACCTATGTATTTCTTCAGACAATTAATGCATCTGGAAATTTTATATGTATTACATAACATATGGATCAAAGTTCACAAGAGACATAGTTATTATATTATAACTCAGTAAGTTAACTAAAAGATTTCTAACTGCAATTTACTCGGCAATGGATCACCACAACGTGTTGAGAGTGACTGTTCAACCAGGATTCCATAGCCTTGCAGATGTTGCATATCTTATTAAGGGATGGAGCATGGAGGTCTGGCCATCCCACTTCCATAATCTGGAATAATTAAAAAGTGTTAGAAATGTATAAAGGCAAACTTTTTAATCAATGTACACAATTAATAAATAGAATAAATACATTTTTTATATTTTTAATTTCATAACTTTCTTTCGCACCTTATTTGTTCCCTACAAACAAAATTTATAAATGCTGTGCTTCAAGTATTCATTAGAATCACTTTTTAAAAGTTATTCAAAATTCCATAAGAAAACCATAGAAACAATACTGATAGAAGCCTTGCTATATACACTAATCATCTGATTACCAGATGAGATTTTCAGGAACATTTTTCTAAACTATTCAGCAATTCAGCATTTTTCTAAACTATTCAGCAACTCTATCTTGGTAATTAATTAATTAATTAAATACAAATTAATTAATTTGTATTAATACAAATAAGAACAATTTTTGAATATTGAGAAAAAAATGTAATCTGAGAGATAATTCAGATTCCCAGCAAAAATGGTGTGGTTCATTTCATATACATATTTCAAAATCATTGTGGAATCAGTAGTTGGACCGTATAACTTCTTTATATAATAAACAGTGGTGGGTTTCAATTTTTTTTAGAACATCTTCTGTAGGTGTGGACTGCTTTGTGGGAGTGGCTTGCTGACCATGTGACCAGGTGGTAGTGGCTTGCCAGCCATGTGACTGAGTGGGTGTGGCCAACTTGTAAAATGTGCTGAAACTCATTTAACAACGCTCTTACTTAGCAATCAAAATGTTGGCTCAGAAACTCTGGCATTTGAAGCACGCAAGTCTTAAAGCTGTCAAGTTACAAGACCCTTGCACCCCTAACCTTTAGGAAAAAAAACCCAGGGGTGTTCAAACCTGATAGCTTTAAGACTTGTGGACTTCAACTCCTCCTCTCGCTCTTCATCTTGATGATGTGTGGACGGGCGGGGGGAGTGAGCTGGAACCGGTTCTAAACGGCACTGTAGATTTGTGGAACCTCATCTGTAGAAGAGGTTAGAACTGGCAGGAACCCACCCCTGATAATAATTCACTAATCTAATCAGCTATGAGGAAATTATTTTAACAGATATTTTTGCTAAAAAATCAGTCTGTGAAAACTTGCTAACAGTGTCCCCCTTGGCAATTTTGTTGGAGACAGTCTAGCCAAACATCAATGAAAAATTGTGATCTCTAAGCTGGAATACTGCAATGTGCTCTACATGGGGCTGCCCTTGAAGAGCACCCGGAGACTTCAGCTAGTACAGAACGCGGCCGCGCGAGTGATTGTGGGCGCACCTCGGTTCGCCCACATAACACCTATCCTCCGCGAGCTGCGCTGGCTGCCTGTAGATCTCCGGGTGCAATTCAAGGTCTTACTTACCACCCATAAAGCGCTCCATGGTAGTGGATCTGACTATCTGAGAGACCGCCTTCTGCCAATAACCTCCCTGCGTCCCATCAGATCGCATAGAGCGGGCCTCCTCCGTATTCCATCCGCCAGTCAGTGCCGACTGGCGACTACCCGGAGGAGAGCCTTCTCAGTTGCTGCTCCGACGCTATGGAACAATCTCCCCGTGGAGATTCGTACCCTGACCACAGTCCAGGCCTTCCGTACAGCCCTCAAGATCTGGCTAGCCCGTCAGGCCTGGGGATAAATTTTCTTGCCCCTCCCGAATACTGAGTGAATGTTGTGTTTTAGTACTTTTTAGTTATTTCACATTTTCTTTTGTATTTTGTCTTTCACTCCCCTTCCCTTACTATTGTAAGCCGCCCTGAGTCCCCTCAGGGAAAAGGGCGGCCTATAAATGCTAAATAAAATTAAAAAAAATCAAATCAAAATCAAATTTGCCTACAATGTAAAAATAAATAAATAAATAAAACAGAAACTGTGCACTTTAATACAAGAACATGTTAATACCTTTGGGTCAAGCTTAGCAAAGTCATATCTTCTTTCAGAGAGGTTCAGCACCTGTTGCAGAGGAAAATATTTTTAGCATGAACATTAATAATTTAAACACTGCATTTAATATATTTGATACTGAAGTTATGCAGATGTGATAGTTCTTTAAAGGCCCTAAAAATGTCAAAACACAGGGGTATCAAACTGCGGCCTGCAAGCCAGATACACCACACACAGGTCAAGCCCACTTAGGCTCCGCAAAGGCAAAAAACACCGTGATATGTCACGTGACATCCCATGACATGATTGGGTTTGACACCAGTGTCATAACAGAAGAGTAATAATATTACTTGAATATCTGCATTATTTCAAAGTTATTTTCTTCTGATTTTGACAAAATAAAGAGGAATAATTCAGAGTTGACTGTCAAGATTTCTTTTTACCAAAAAAATGTAGGCATGACCATGCTCCACATAAGCATTCTTTAAGGCCACTAATTTCATGGCAAGAAGCAAATACATTTTAATCTACTTTCATTTTAATTTGAGTTAATTATGATTTTATTTTAAGGCTGATATAAAGTATTATTCATTCCACAAGCATCACTTTTGTTCCATGTAATAATTTTCATTTTTATCTTTGTATTTCTTATCTCAAATCAAAGTAATCAAGGGCTATGGAGGTAGGTATCTCTATTAATGGCTATTGTCATGACTCCTAAAACTTAGATCATCTGCTATTTTTGCTGGGGAAAAGTTGGGCTTCCTATAAGCACGTAGCTAATGACTATTACAAACTGGATGCTCAACAAAATAGGTTTCAGGTTTGATATCAATGAAATTTATTTCCAAGTGTTTTTGAATTTGGAGGTGTTCAATTTCATGTCTCATTAATATATTTTTCTTATACACAGAAAACTTAATATTAATACATATACAGAAACCTTATTTTCAGTACTACATATAGTCCATTTTTTCACTAAAGTCCTTTTGTACACATATACACTTCATTTATCTACTTTATTTAGATAACCTGGGATTATAAAACAGCAGCTAATCTCTCATTTGAAGCAACAAATTATAAATACAAATTTTGAAGGTATAGTAGATTATGCCTTTTTATCTACTCAAACAAAAGAACAAGCTTAATAAACTGCTTTGCATTCACAATGTATATAAAAAATAACCTGTATAATTATTCTTGGTTTCTTATTATAAATAAATGCTGCCACTATGATAACAACAGATATATCTTTTAATCAAATGTTTAGATGACAAACAACATCATAGAGATTGCATCTCCTCTTACCATGTAGTTGCCACCATGTCTGGATTTAAGCATGCCAATTACATCTTGGAAGTTGTTTAGGTAAATTTCCTCTGAGCAGTTTCCTGGGAACGATACTGCAATGATTCTTTCAGTAATGTAAGTCAGGTCCAGTTCATAACTTTCCGCCATAATAAGGTCAAAATCTGTACTTCTGTGTTGAACAAGATAGAACAAGGCCACTTTAAACATTTGCAAGTGGTCATACAATATTGCATAGAAAGTAAACTAAGACACTTAGAATATGGCTTTTAAGGGAGAAAAAGAAAATATTTTTAAAAGAACTGAAAAAATGACTTAAATATGAATAAACAATGTTGACACAAATACTTTAAACAAAAGCATTTTAATAAATATTTAAGTAGTTCTTACTGGTAGTGGGGGAATAACAGAATAACAGAGTTGGAAGGGAGCTTGGAGGTCTTCTAGTCCAACCCCTGTTCAAACAGGACACCCTATACCACTTCAAACAAGTGGTACTCAAGTCTCTTCTTAAAAGCCTCTAGTGATGGAGCACTCACAACCTCTGTAAGCAAGCCATTCCACTGGTTAATTGTTAATTTTTCTTTAGTTCTAGGTTGCATTTCTCCTTTGTTATTTTCCATCCATTGTGTCTTCTGGTGCTTTGGAGAATAGATTGACCCTCCCTCTTCTTTACGGAAGCCCCTCAAATATTGGAACACTGCTATCATGTCACCTCTAGTCTTTCCTTTCATTAGACTAGACATACCCTATTCCTGCAACCATTCTTCACATGTTTTAGCCTCTAACCCTCTAATCATTTTTGTTGTTCTTTTCTGAACTCTTTCTAGGGTCTCAACGTCTTTTTTTATAATATGGCAACCAAAACTGAATGCAATATTGTGGTCTTACTAAGGCTTTATAAAGTGATAGTGACTCTATCCCTCTAATAATGCATCAGGTTTTTTTGCTTGCTGCTGCACACCACAGGCTCATATTTAACTGATTGTCCTGTTTTTCTTATCTAACTGTAAAACCTTAATTTCTCTACCTTTATTTTTATTTTGTTAGATAAGGCCTAGTGTTCAAACCTGTCAATATCCATGTGGATCTTGAGCCTTTCTTCTAGGGTATTGGCTATTCCAGGGATGAAAGGAAGAGAGAGAGAGAGGGTTATGGAAGGCTTCTTTTTATAATGCATTTTGGGTTACTCTATATCTTACAACTTGCATCTCTATTTTTGATAATCTTTAAACAGTAATAATTCATAATAATAAAATTAACCCAGTCAAATGGTTGATTCATCAAACATTTGCCAGTCCCAAGTCTGGATAAATGAGGAGGGTTAAGGAATGAAATGGTGAACTGTACAGTAACCAAGCAGGACAAGTACAGATTTCAAAGGATAATAGGACTGCCAAAAAAACAACTGCAACCAGCCTGCCATCCATTAAGGACCTATATACTGCATGAGTCATAAAGAGGGCTGAGAAAATATCTGCAGACACCCTCACATCCTGGACAAAAACTATTGCAACTCCTCCCATCAGGACAAAGACAGTTTTTCACCCTCATACTATTATTCTGTTGAACACCTAATTCCCATGTCTTATGTCTAAGGAAATTTGCCCATGTAGTAGGTCTGTATTACTTATCAGCTTTCTTATTATCTTCTACAATTTGTATCTTATTAGCACTTTGTTGTTTGTATGTACCTGGAGAGTTTATGCACCAGAGACAAATTCCTTCTATGTCCAATCACACTTGGCCAATAAAAAATATTCTACTTTATTATTATTATATTATGGCAATAGCTCAATATGATTCAGATGTGGATACCAACTGTAGACCTTCCAGGTTGGATAGTAGCCTGCAAGATACTGGAGAAGAGAAGGACTAGCTTTTAGTAGTTAGGGATCTTATGATGTTGTTGGATGAAAGACTTTGGTAACCCAACAACTGACGGTGCCCATGAAGAAAGAGGTCACCTGTGCTTATATCAAATTGGAACATGGAATGATAAGAGGCATGTCCCTTGGGAAACTCAAAATTCTAAAAAGACAAATGATTAAAGCTAACATAGGCATCCTTGGCATTAGTGAGATATACTGGACAGCAGTAGTGAATTCAAATCAGTCACTTTTATGGTTTATTTTTCTGGAAATTATATCATCAGAAATGAAGTTGCATTCTGAATAAGCAAACAGATGGATAATTGTGTTGAGAATCACAGAGCATACACTAAATAAATCTTTATTACGGTCAAAGACCAGCAATACACATTAGTTTTTACACTATGTTAAAAAATAATTACATTAAGATATAATTAAAAGGTATTGATGTTAAAAATGGAAAATAATATACATGTTCTCAGATTGTTCGGGTCACTCCCTGGTTTACCTGGGTGCAACTCTGTTAAGTATAGGAGTAAATACAATGGTCCAAAGATTGTTAGAGATATGTCAAGATAATTGGTACCAGATGACTATACTTCTGTAGCCAATTTTTTTTATGGACATTTCAGCAGCACAGAACTTTGCCACTGCATACTTGGAAGAGAAAGCCTAGATAAAAATTGTCTGCCCTCCCTGGCAATCTCTCTAATAAGGGGAGAATATGTGCAGACCTACAAGCTCTGTATAGCTCGCAGTGTAATAGAACATGTGAATTATCTTCCCCTTCTCCTTTACCACATATACAAACGTGTTCTGCTATAGGTGTTCTCTTATACCTGCCCGGGAGGAGTGCTGAAGGAAGAATGTTAAATCTGGCTCTGAAGAAAGCTATTCTTTGTTTTGGGAAGATCAAGTCATTTAGATATGTTGCCGATTCCCACACACCCTATTTGAATCTGTCCCTATTGTGGAGAGGCAACCTATTTACTTCTTCTTGGAACTCCATGTCCTTCATTCTATTGATTACTATTTGCTTTGCTTGATCAAAGCCTAGGGACATTAAGAATACCAGTGAGAGCCCATAAGAGCCCAGCTTGTGATCAATTGCCTGTTTCCAGTGGGAGAGGAAATTGTCAGTCAACACTACTGAAGACAGTCCCTCTGGAAAGAAATGCATTTTAAGCCACTGAAAGATCATCATGTTCCAGGCTCTTACCTGAATTTGAGATATGCCTGTCTCAATTCTTAACTGGGCATTTGGAGCATACAATGATGACATAATATCTATCCAATTTGAGACAAGCCCTCAACATCACCATATTACAAATCAACACCCCAACTGTAGACACAAATGAATTTGAATTTTTTACAGTGAGTTTAAATGTGCTATTAAGCAAATACCCAAAAATGATATTTTATATATTATCGGCAATTCCAATCCAAAGGTAGGCCAAGGAAAAGTTGCAAGAATAGTAGGCAAGTTTGGGCTAGGTGAATGGAATAAAGCCTACTTTATTACCTACTGCAATTTTGCCAGGAAAATCATCTCAGCATAAGAAACAGATAGTTTATACCAGTGGTTCCCAAACTTGGCAACTTTAAGACTTGTGGACTTCAACTCCCAGAGTTCTCCAGCCAGAAGAGCTAGTTGGAGAATTCTGGGAGTTGAAGTCCACAAGTCTTAAAGTTGCCAAGTTTGGGAACCACTGGTTTATACAATACAAGCAACATTTATATACATGGACAGGACCAAATGGACATCAAAATCAGATAGATTTCATTTCATGCCAACAATGCTAGAAAGATTCAGTTGCATCTGTTAAGATGCAATTTCCTGGTGCTGAGTATAGCTCAGACCATCAGGTATTAGTGGCTAAACTGAACTCAAATTGTGCAAAGAAAAAAATGGTAATATCCCCCCCCCCCAATTCAATGTAAACAACATCTCACCTATGTATATAGAAGTTAAGAATAGGTTTTAGCCACAGAATTTAGAAGTAAAAGACCCAAATGAACAGTGGTAAAAGAGCCAAGGTAACATCATGAAAATTGCTTGAAAGTATGTATCATGCCCAAAAACAAAGAAAACAAACAAGTAGCTATCTGATTAAAATAGCTGATCAGCGAAAGTAGCCAAAGATAAAGATAGTAAGGATGAAGTTTAAAGCTGAATACAATTTTCCAATGTGAAGCCAGGAAAAATACAAAAATAGGCAGTAGGAGGAGCAGTGACAATATCTGGAAGAAGCTAATAGGACGGGACATATTAAGGTCATGTTTGTCATGGTGAAAATGATGCAATCCAGCTTTTCAGCATGGTAAGGAACTCTTAAGGACTGCATTGGGAGTGTATTAAATGAGCAGCAGAAAATCAACAACATATAGAAAGAATATACAGAAGGATTCTATAGCCATTTGACTTATTATCAAGATGACAACAATGACAGCCCAATCAATAAAGAACCAAACATCTTGAAAGAAATTGTAGAATGGGCCATGGGGAATTGTCAAACCTGAAAATCCCAAGTTTTGATGGAATACCTGCGGAATTACTAAAACCGGGATGGCGAACCTATGGCACGTGTGCCACAGGTGGCATGTAGAGCCATTTGTCAGGGCACGTGAGGCGTTGCCCTGTCAGCTGGCCAATGTGCATGCGCCCGCTGGCCGACTGAGTTCAGCCTTTTTTTAAACTATTTTTTGCCCTCCCCAGGCTCCAGAGGCTTTATAGGAGCCTTGGAGAGGGTGAAAACAAACCCCCCCCCCAGGACATCCTCTGGAGACTTCACTTCCGGTTTGCTCATAGAGCTGGGCCCCTGAAGGCTCGGGAGGGCTTAAACCGGGCCTATGAGCAAACCGGAAATCCGTTCCTGAACTTCCAGTTTGCCTTGTTTTTTGTGCTCCGGAGATTTCAGGGAAGCTCCTGAAGCCTCTGGAGGGCCTCTGGGGTGAGAGAGACTGTTTTCACCCTCCCCAGATTCCTATAAAGCCTCTGGAGCCTGGGAAGGGCGAAAAAAGAATCCCAAAAATGGGGGGAACGCCTGTCATACATGCATGCATGCTGGGGGTGTTGCGCATTGCATTATGGGTGTGGCATGCCCGCACACAACCCCCCTGCGCTCTCCCGCTTATGGCACGCAAGACAAAAAAGGTTCGCCATCACTGTACTAAAACCAGTGTCAGTTAACATCATCACTGCCCAATGTCAAGAGATATGGAAAACATGTCAATGGCCTCAGGACTGGCAAAGATCTGTTTTTATCCCATTATTAAAGAAAGGCAATGCCAGAGACTGTTTCAACTATCATACAATTGCATTCATTTCTCATAGAAACAAGATTCTATTAAAAATAATTAAACAGAGACTACAGACTTTTATCATCAAGAGTTATTTGATGTACAAGCAGGCTTTAGAAAGGTGCGCTGCACTTGAAATCATATTGCCGGTATTAGATGGATTATGGAAAAAAACATGTGAATATCAAAAGGATCTTTATAGTTGCTTTACTGATTATAGAAATGCTTCTGACTGTGTAGAAAACAACACAGTGGACTTTGAGCAGCTTTGCATGATCTTTGTGTCCCAATCCACATGAGCAGATTTACCAGATCACCTTACATTGATCAGAAGGCAACCGTGAAAACACTTTATGGTGACACAGAATGGTTCAGAATCAGCAAGGGAAATGTGTTTTACTAGCTTTTTAATTCAATCTGTATGTGAAGTGATCATGAATTACATTTATTTTAAATAGATTTAATCCTCTGCCCCTTATATCCAGAGTTCAATAGCTGCCAAACCGTTTTGTCAGCTCTTAGAAGACATATCACAGCAGATATTCCTATACTTAGTATAGGAAATTTTAATTCTTGCTTTAGAATTATAGAACGCTAGCTTAGATATAATGTTCATTAACAAATGTTCAAGTGTTGTCAAATATGTACTTTAACTTTCTCTCTCTGGAATTATAAATAAGAGAAAAGTATTCAGAAAAGACTTACTCAGATATTTTGTCACAACAGAGAAATGAATTTCTTAAAAACCTGCTGGAACCCTGGAAATAAAAATAAGCAAAGTATGAACAATTTTTCTGTCACAAGAAATCCTATGTAATTTTTTGCATAATTTTTAAATATAATTTCTATTGCTCTGAACAAGTCAAGTATTTTATTGTTAATGTCTGACAGCAATTGAAACTGCATTTAGTAGCTTTTTAAAATAGTTCAGAAATCTTATTTCAGACTAACTGAATTGATCAGCTTCAATGGACTGAAAGCCATTTCAGTAACAAACTGTTTGTAGAACCATCATAATTGATCTAATGGAAACTATTTCATGAAAATAGCCTTTTTATTATGATACTCTTTAAATAATGTTATTGGCTTGTAAAATTGCAATCTATCCTTCTTGTCACTATATTTGATTAAATACTCACATTGTAATGTTTATTTAATTAAATCACAAAAAGTATTTCAGCCTTAATAAAAAATACACCAAGCAAAATTAATTTTCAACCAAACTCAGAAAAAGTAAGTTTATTCTTTAAAACACCTTCAAGTATAACAGCTATATGTAATTTATTTTAAATAAATAATAGCATAATATTATTCTTTTGATAAGCAAATTTACCTAGAGTTCATCAAAATAAAATGTCTTCTCAATTTCAAATATATCGGCAACATGATAATAGTGCCTAATATACCCCTATCTCTATCCCTATCAGTAAAGAAAGAAAGAAAAATAGCAGGGAACTTTCAATGTCCAGTCTCAGGAGAAACTGATTTCAGCATCTTTCTGAATCACTCTATTAATTGCAAGTAAAATCTGCAATATTTCTGCATGTACTTTTGCTCTACAGAAAGTTCACATGTCAGCCTGGGCCCTTGTTTTTCATTTTTCATTCTTTCTTAGCTCTGCAAGGGAGGGAAATTAAAATAAGTTGAGGGATGCCAATTTCCCCTAAAGTTTGAAGCTGTAGAAAACCAAGATTTTTCACCTGAATATTCCTTTTAGGGAATTATAAGAAAAAATAAGAATGAATGTTTATTATAGTTAAAAGCCACAGACAGAAACTATAACTGAAAATAGTTAAAAACAACCATTAAATGAAGATAGAATAATACAGTACAAGCAATTGTAATAGCTGGTTTAAAAACGTATGCTACAACTTCGGGAGATCTTACACTAATTAATGTCCAACTTTCATGGCTGCTGCACTGTATTTTTCTAAAATCTCAGTAATAAAAAATTTACAAAGGTAAAATTTACAAACCTGAAAAAAAGGTTATGTAAGTATTGTCAGATCAAGTACTGATGTAAAAGGGGCAGAATATAAACATGAATATCTCATAGATGGCACAATAAAATAACACGTTAGATTGTTTCAGTGTCTCCAGTTTCACATGAAGTTTCATATGAACAAGTACATTTCTCGAACAGTATTTTAAAACATCTTTCCTATAATAATGCCAAAAAGAAAAGTTCATGCATTTCTCAAAAAATGTACTATATATACTTGTATTTCTTTACATGGAGGAAGTGACATTGCTCAGCTTTTTCTGAATGAGAAATGTTTCACTGCCATCAAACTGAAGATTTTATAATATGCAATCTATCAGCGATGCAGGAAATTATGGAAGACTTCTTCAACTCTTCAACTTAAAAGAAAATCCAAGGTTCTGTGCAGACCACAAGATGGCGTTATTCTGCTATAAATAAAAACTGTACTGTCAAAAGACTCAGGGTTATAAACAAAATATATTCATGCACACCATGAGATAATTGGTAAAGACTGGAAATCTATACAATTCTTCCATTTTTGCAGATATATACAGCATCAAATTTGTAGTATAGAAAAATGAATCATGAACCTGGAATAAAATTCCTGCTTTGGAATTGTGTCTCTTGTTTGAAAGTGAACAAAGCTTTCTCTTTTACAAGTCTATGCTCTCTGTAACAATTGTTACTGTTATGTTACATACTTGACAGTTGATATGCAGAAAGCAGGGCTTTCATCTGAGATACATACATACATACATACATACATACATACATACATACATACATACACAGTGACATGTGGTGAGGTTTATGGCTGATGAGGCAGCAATTCTTCTAGACTTGTGGACTTCAACTCCTAGAATTCCACAGCCAGGCATGCTTAGTTCCGATGTAAAACTACAGCATTTGTTTATAAGTTTCCTTCATTCTTTTTCTTCTCCCTTCCCCTCCTTCCTCCCTCTCTACCTCCCTCCTCTCAAACACACACACAAACACACAAACACAACTTTTTCTCTCCCTCCCTCCCTCTATCCATCCATCCATATTTCCTTCCCTTTGCCTTCTTTCATTCCTTCCTTTCTCCCTTCCCTCCCTCCCTCTTTCATTCTCCCTTCTTTTTTATTTCTCTTTCTCTCATTCTTTCTTTCTCTCATTCTTTCTTTCTCTTTTTCTTCCTTTTCTTTCTTTCTCCCTTCCCTCCCTCCCTTTCTCCCTTCCTATGAAGAAAGGTCTTTGATAGGATGAAGAAAAGCCTGACGTTTTGAAACAGAGAACATGCCCATTGATCATCTGGCATTTTTAGAACCTCATTATTGATTAGCTTAGCCTGAGCAAAGATAGATAGCAGTACTTTCAATAAACCATCAACTCAAGCTCAGTGCACTTGGAGATCCCCAAACAATGAGGATTTCTTTCTTTCTTTCTTTCTCACTCTTGAAGCCCTCCCCGTAGCCCATTTTTGCTCCCAGAGGGCTGCAGGGTGGCTTGCTAGGCACCTCCCTGTGCCCTGTTTTGGGCCTAGCAGGCCTCCCTGAAGTCCCTGGGAGCCAAAACGGAGCATGGGGGGCATCAACATCCCCATACCCCATTTTGGACCTAGCAAGCCTCCCTGAAGCACCCTAGGAGCCAAAACAGGGTGCAGGAGTTCCGTTGCAGCCCCTCACACCCCATTTTGGGCCTAGCAGACTTCCCTGAAGCCACCTGAAATGAAAATGGGGCACAGAGGGACTCCTGGAATGGGCGAGGGAAGGTATGGGGTGGTGGGGTGGAGCAAGCTCTGGGGAGGGGGGCAGAGGAGGCAGCTCAGGGCAGGCACCACATGGGAACTGGGAAGGCAGCTTAGGCAGGCAAGCCGCCCAGGACTGGTTTGGGGGCATGGCTAACCTGCCGTCCCTATCTGTTCGGAGACCCAGGCCCAATTTCCACTACAGGTTCACCCAAACCAGTGCAAACCAATAGGAACCCACCTCTGGCATGTACGTATTAATTTACTACCTTTAATTCCATTCATTGTCCCAGATAACTTGTAATATGATTTCATGTTAAGTCTCAAAATATTGATATGCTAAAAGAAACATAAAACCTTTGGGGATGTACATTTCTGAATCTGAATTAACACTGTTAACAATGTAGAAAAACAAAACCTTACCTTTGGTTCACATTTCCTGTAACAGAAATATTTGTAAACTAAAAAAAAAGAAAAAATGGAATTACTCCAAGACTACACATACAGAAAGTATCCTCAGATTATTCTTGTACATTCAATTTCAAAAATTCTCTTTCACTGAATACTGTAGATGTTCAGCCATTTTTTTGAATTAGGAGAAACCAATGGAATCCATATTTTTCCCTTTCTCTTATAATTATATAAATAGTTCCTTTCAAAATTTCTCTATGTACATTTTTCTATATGCGGTTAATACCTTAAATAACTTTCTGAAAAATTAGGCATTCACATATATCAGAAAGTAGTCAGAATAATTAAATTGTGATTTATTTCCAAGGAAGTAGTAAAAACCAATGAAGTACCTGCAGATCATAATGAATCATAAATTCTTACTGACTCTCAAGTGACCATGAGTGATGTAATCATGTGACTTGATCTAAAACTGCAACAATTGCAACAATCAGGAAACTGAATTTAAGCAAACCGTTTAAAAGTATATTCATTGCAATTCTTATTTAGAAGATGATGTTCCTGAGCACTAAAGGAAAAAAATGTTAATTCATAATTGGAGTTACTGGGAGATTTTTCGCAGACCATATTCAAATAATACATGTAAATAATACATATATAAATTTCTCTCCAACAGAAGACTTTCTTAATTGGCTAATTTCATAATATAAAGGGGGCTATATACACTGAAGTTTGATTTAGTTATCACAGTTAAGAATTCTATACTTGATCTCTCTATCACATATTAATGCATGACTTTTCCCAAGCTTTGATTGCCCTCACATTTGAAAATGATGGCATATTATTAAAATAATAGGATGGTTGCACGGTATTTTATGAACACTAACCAGAAATTAAAAGTCATAAATGAATGTTTCAGCAACATGCCACAATGTGTTAGCAAATATAAGACTTTAAATGTATATTATTTTTATCCAATTTTACAAAACTTCAAAAATTAAGCAAAAAAATCTGCATTATAATTCTGCATTATAGCAGAAGAGTTTGTACAGTGGGTGCATTATATTATAATTATCTGCTGCTAATTCTACTGTGACTGAACATAATTTTAATCAAAAGAAGAGACAACAGAATCCTCCAACATTCAGGTGACAGCTATTCCTCAAGGATCCTAAAGAGGGCTATCCCAACACCTAAATTCCAACCTATAGATTTATTGACTAAAGATTTGCAATTCTCCAATGCTAGGCTGGTTGGGGGGGGGTGCTTAAGAAGAGGCCCTATGAAGTTTGTGAGGGTACTGATCAAAAGATAAATGAGGAGAAAGGTCTTTGGCCTGGTGTGATGGGAATCAGGCCTAAGGCCTGGGAGGACCCAGTGGGAATGGGGAAAGATCTATTGGAACCCATTGTGGGCAGGAAGTGGAGTATGGAAGTGCTACCCTTGAAGAGCATTTGGAAGCTTCAAACTGTGCAGAATGCAGCAACACACACAATTTTGGGGGTCCTAGATTGCCCCAAATTACACCACTGTTCTGCGAGCTACACTGGCATCTGGTTTGTTCCCAAGTGCAATTCAAGATGTTTATTATTATCTGCATGTCATGGGTCCAGATTACTTGAGGAACTGTCTTACCCCTATGGAACAGGGGAACCCCACTTGTGCCAGCAGAGGAAGCATGCTGCAGTTATCGTCAGTCCCCCCCCCCCAAAAAATGAAATCCAAGGGAACAGTCTTTTCTGTTATGGCTTTGACCCTTTACAAAATCTTGCCCCTTGAGATGAGATTGTCTCCCATCCTCATCTTCCTCATGAACCTGAAGACCTGGATTTGCCAATTGGTTTGGGTCCCCGATGGGTGAGTACCACATAGGAGGTGCAGTGGTGGGTTGCTGCTGGTCCGCACCGGTTCTCACAAACCAGTTTGTCACCGGACCCGGAAGTAAGTTCCGGAACGCCTGCCCCAGCCCTGTCACTCACTCGCTCGCCCCACCCGTCTGGAAGCCACTCCATTGCTCGCTCCCTCTGCCCGTCCGCACTATCCTAGCCCCACCTACCGCACACTGATTGGCTGACTCACCAATCGCCCCACCCACCTCTAAGAACCCTATCTAAACCCACTTACCTTTTTTCCTGCTTGGCTCTCTATTGCTGCCTGCCGACTCCAAGGAGGTAAGTAAGTTGCAACTAAGCACGGGGCTTTGTGGCCTTGCAAGGATCCCGGACTCACTTATAGCGCAGGGCCACATGGACACCAGAAAGCACGGGCGCAGAGGCGGGGCGGGGGCGAGGGCTTAGCGGTGTGGCCAGCATCTTTAACAAGTTTGGGGACCTTGTAAGGCCTTTGCAAGGTCCCCAGACTTGCCCAAGATGCAAGGCCGCCTAAAAACATGGGCAGAGGGCGGGGCAGGAGCTTATGTGGTGCGGCCAGTGTCTTTGACAAGTTCATAGACCTTGCAAGGCCTTTGCAAGGTCACCGGATTTGCCCAAGATTCCAGGCTGCCAAAAAGCATGGGCGCGGGGGCAGGAGCTTATGCAGCGTGGCTTGGCCACCAGCAAAGGACCTCCTCGGACTTGACCAGCAACACCCTGCCCGCCGCCCAGCAACACGCTGCAGCTGCCTCCTCCTTGGCGGTCGGGCCGGGCAGGGGCATGGGCACAGCCCAGGAGAGGGCAGTCAATGGGGCGCTGCCCAGCCAGCCCTCCCTCAGGAGCAACAGTGGCGAGTTCCACAATGTTGCCTTCAAGGTGAGTGGCAGGCACCATAGGGCCGGGGAGCGGGTCTCACCCGGCACCCACCCAGCCACCACTCGGTGGGCAAGGGTTCAGGGACTTCTGCTCCTTGTGATGCACTTTACAGCCACCGGAGCCCTGCACAGACCTCTTTGGGGTGCTAGAAGGAATCCCCCCTGGCCAGGTTGCCCAAAGAGATCTATGCAAGGCTCCGGCAGCTGCAAAGCGAAAACGAGGGGCAGAAGTCCCTGAACTCAGTGGGGCAATGCAGCTCCAGCAGTAGCAGTAGTTTCCCCCTTCCTCCGCCCAGCTCACCGCCCCCTCCTTTGCTTAGGCTCCCCACTGGCCCCTCCTGACGTGCTTTGCAACCCCTGGAGCCAGCACGGACCTCTTCATGGTGCTGGCTGGGCAACCTGGTTCTGGGGATTCCTCCACCCAAAAAAAAAAAGATTGGCTGCCCGTCTCTCCAGATCTTGTGGCTTTTCAGGATTTTCTTTTTAAAAAACGCCTCTCCAGGTGATCTTGAAAACCTGCGAGGTTGCTTTGGAAGGGGACAGATGGGCAGCATTTCCCCCTGCCCCCCTCCCTGGGTGCCTGCAACCTCGGAGCCTGCAGCCTTAAAA